CTCCGCAGCAGAGGAGTTCACCCGAGGAGGGGCAAGAGTGTCCAGCTAGAGTTCCTCTTTTCATGGAAGCTAAGTGTTGGCAGCTCACAGCTCATTACAGGCAAATCTTTACTAGACATCAGAGAGAGAAGCTGGGAATAAACTTAGGTCTATTCATTAATGTGACTCAGAAATCTTGGGGGTTCTATTTCAGGATTGGTTTTTGTATATGAAATCCAGAAATAATTTCAACCTCTCAGCGCTCCAATTTTCTCCTGAAAGAAAGGGAAGCAAAGGCATCTACTTCATACTGGAGCCAGGGGGTTTGGTTGTGACTGCTATCTCTACATCTTTGGAAAACTGCAATGTGATCTCCAGGAGATGGTCACTTCTCTTCTACATTGGGTTTTTGGAAGAGTTAAGCTGATTTCCTGTTCTCTTCATGCTACCAGGAAAACTGGAATAAAAACAGAATGAATCCTTTCCAAAATAAGTTTTAAGTTTGTAGAAGGAAAGAGATTTGCTAAATTTTCTTACTAAGTCACTAAAAATAAACCACTCGGGGCCCGGGCTGTAGCTCAGTGGTAGAGCGCTCGCCTAGCAACACATGAGGCACTGGGTTCAAACCTCAGCACCACATAAAAAAATGAAATAAAGATATATAAAATAAATAAATAAACCCCTCCTGGAAACACTGTCTCATAGCCAATGGTCCCAACGCTGACAATGGTGCCCCACGGTGGGGACAACAGTCCTAGACACGCCCTTCTGATGGCCCAGGTATGAGCTGGTTGTTTTGGTGTTTGAGTGTTCCTCTTTTCTTGGAAGCTAAGTGTTCCCCCGCCCTGCCCTGGGGTAGGGTGTTGGTGCCTGTTTTGGGCCGATTTTCCTTGCTACCTGGTGAAAATGATAAAGATGCAACGAATATTACTTCAAGTTTATCAACTTTCATAGTAAAATAAAATGTTTTAATTCTTTTACAAAATTCAAAGTGGTTAGCATTTATAACTACTACTACTACTACTACTACTACTACTACTTAAAGCATAGATTTATAATCTTATAATAATTTCAAAACAACTTACATCAGAATTTGTTAGAGTTGACAGTGGCTTGGGTTATTCTGTTTTTCTGTCTGTTATTCTCCTAAAACCCAAGTGACCACATGTCTATTTTTTTTTATCTCCAAAAGGAACTAAAGGACAGTTTTGTAAATATACACACATAAAGTCTTTGCAGAGAAATTCCTATGCCCCAGCTTCCTGCCTGAGTGTTCATAGGAAACTTGAGGGGAGAGAAAGCAGGCCCTCAAGTACTCATTAGTAATAATAACGATTAGCAATTATGTTAGCACTGTAGAGATGAACTGCTTAAAATCAGGCTTTATTAAGTTTCCTAAGTAACAAAGAAGGTGTCCACCTTTGATATGTTTTAGGGCTATACATATGCATTATTAATAGGGCCCTCTTTAAAAAAACAAGCAAAACCAAAAATAAACTCAAATCAATTCATCAAGAGCACAAACCAGTCTCTGACCTTGCAAAGTGGGCAAAACAATGATCGGGATCTCAGGGTCTTGAGTCACAGGTGGGAGTTGCCTCAGGACCTTTGAAGCAACTGGAGGGTGGCCAGGTCATACCAGTGGAGCGAGGTGATGTCTTCTCAAAGGACTCAAGACCCATATCTGAATTCTGCACACAAGTAGAAGTTTTTTGATCTGCAAAATTTTATTAAGCAATAGCTGGACAACTTTTACAGTTTCAAATCATCAAGGAAAAAAAATAAGGAGATTAATCCATCTCAGTAATAAAGGCAGAAAATAATTTGGACAAATCACATCATTTTGAATGCAAACCATTAATGCCTTCTAGAATACCTCCTGCACAATCTAATACACAAAATACATACATAGAGAGGTGAATAAGAGGAGCTCACTGAAATGCAATCGGGAAACTCAACAGATCTTGCCTGGAAAGTAAAACAAAGCAGGATGCTCAAGTAAAAACAAACGACGCTAGAGGAACCAGGTGCACAAAGCAGTGCACGCCCTTCCCAAGGTCTGAGAGAACATGCTGGTGGTCTTATGTGGTCTGGGACCTGTGTGCCTCATCACACACTTACAGGGTTGGGGGAAGGAAGAAAAAGAAAATGCCAGTAGTAATAAACTCAGAAGTGATGTTCAAATTTACAGTACCAAAATAATGCATTTATAAACAAATGCAAAAACAATACCCCTTTGGTAAATAATACAGTGCCTTTTTCACTCAAATGCATAACCCATGCTTTTTTACAACATGAAAAAAAATTTATCTACAATAAACGAGATCTTAGAATCCTACCCCCCCACCCTTAAAAAGAACTTGTAAACAGAAAGTATAGGTACAAGTAAAATTACAAGAAAATTGCACAAAGTCAAAGAAAGGGAAACAAAATAAGCCACAACCTTTCAGAGTTTATCAGCCAGAGAAAAGAAAATACCCAAATGGCGCCATGTTCTGAGTCGTGTGTTCATACAAACTCCCAGGACCCAAACAACACTTCAGACACGTTTGTCTCGGCCAACTTTGTCCACAACCACAGACTTGGCCACATGATCTGCAGCCCACACACGGGTTCCTTTTTCACAGGTCCCTTTTCGATAAACCTTCGGATTAGAAGGTGGTGCAGCGCTGGGAGCAGAGGAGCACACTAAAGGATGGGATCCGCCTGGATTCCTCCTCCTCTCTTCTTCCTGAACACACTCTCAATCAGTTATGGGGGAAAGTGGTGACTTATCTTAGGGCTATTTTCAAGGGCGCCCATTGAGTAGGGCACACTCAGGGGATTCCTCCGACTTGCCTGGAATCAGTGCTTTTGTGTAATTTTATGAGATCAAGCATGTTTTGAAACGTATTTAGAGGTGAACTTTCTAAAGATATTCTGTTAAATGCACTGGTTTATATTCAGCAGACAGCTCACAGACTCAGGAAAGGAAACACTTCTCCACAAAAAGGCAATGTTTTGAAACACACTTTCCACGCTTGTCAAGTGGGAAGATGAAGCTGCTCAGTTCTGAGCTCTCCGGCTGCTGGGGGAGTGTGGATGATAGTCCAGGCGCCTCTTCCATTTTCCAGATGGACAAAGCTGGATCTGGCAGCCCCAGACTTGCCCAAGGTCACCCTCCAACCTTCTGCTCTGATTTCAGAGTGAACCTTAGATGTTTCTGCATGTCCTTGTGGACACCTAACAGTGGAGCGAGGGCTACAGATGAAAAACACCAACCTGCAAAAGCCTTTCATTTACACACCAATAGAGTCTTGAGAGCTTCCTCCTTCTTTGGCCCCAATTTTTCCCAGGTTAAACATTCAATGGGTATTTTGTGTACACATCCATGGCCTTTGGTTTGATGAGGTTAAGAGCTAAACAAATTTAAAATTGGTTTTTATGTTTCTTAATATACAGATTCCCTCAAAAAGACCCCATGTAGTTTACTTTATATTTCACTGATATTTTTAAATTTAATAAGGTATCTTGACATTCATAAACTGCTACTAACAAGCACAAAGTACCTGGAATTCTGCTGCTTAAACTCCTCATATTGGTGGCATTAAACCTCTACGATGAAGTCAGACTCCATCACGGCGCCACGGCTGCAGCCAGCAGCTTCCACCTCACTGGGCAGGAGACCCTGCTTCTGACATGCCTCTGCAGACTCGGGCGAGCAGCCATCCCTGATGCACCCATCTGTGGCTCCTTGGGGGGAAAATAGCTTTCGGGGAGTCATTTGTTCTCATTAAGAAAAGTCCTAAAATGTACCCTTTTGTGGCTTTTGCATCTCAAAAACCAATCAGAACTGAAAGAACTAAAACTTATTTCTTAAGAATTTCACTAATGGGTCTCTCCATTTCCTATAATCCTTTATTATGAACTGAAAATTTAAAATTCTCAAAATAAGGGGAATTAGGGCATAACTGTCTCAAAGAAATATTCTCTTGTATATAATCAATACTACAGAATTTTTAAAAAGGATCACTTCTAAAGGATTAATAGGAACTTTTCCCAATTAGAAAGTTACAAATTACCCAGCAAAAACATCTTCTATTATATCCTCTTTATTTCTTGTGGTAAAGTACACTACCACCACATGAATCATTACAAAGATACTATTTTTCTAAATAAATAATAAAACGGGCATAACTCACCAATACATAGTAACAAAATAATTCCTAGGAATACTATGAAAAGCAAGGTAATAATTATCTCTCGGACAACAGAACAGGGAAATTGTATTTAAATTACTTCAGAAACAGGCGATAACAATTATTGCACAACTAATAAGAAGCACTGAAACACCATATCAAGCTCCAGGAACTCATATAATAAGAATTAGATAAATCAAAATTTACCTATCAAACAGTTGGGTCTAATATTTTAATCTCTAACATTGGGAAACTCCAGTATTACCTGGGAGATGTCCTTCTCGTTAAAAACCTTGTTGGCATTTCTTTGGACTTAAGAGTGATGAGTGATATCTCCTTACTCTACAAAAGGAATGGGCCAGTTTCTTTTTCTAATTTTAAATCCAAATAGGGAATTAATTTTTTTTTTAAATTTGAAAATACTTTTCTAAGCATCTTCCATTTTTCTGTTTTTAAATAAAATCCATATTTAGGAGTTAAAATCAACAGACAGTTCTTGTACTTTGGCCATAAACATCACCACAGGAATGAACACCAAACCACCATCAAAAAATGGACCGGACCTTGTGACAGACTGGGATACTGCGGAAGGGGGAGAGGCAGGCAAAGAGACTTGAGGCGGATTTTTTCCCCCCCTATTAACAAAGAAGTAGAGAACCCACTCCCTAAAGTAAGATCGATAATTTTAACAATGTTTTTTTTCCCCCCAGTGGTTTATTACCTTAGTAAACAGTCTATACAATTAATAAACAGCTTTTTGTTTCTTTAGAGAAGATCCTAACTTTTGTCAAAGATTTGACTATGCTCCTAACTTTTAAAACCCTGGCAAATGCTGAAAATATTGTGTTTATAATTTCTATTTCAATGGAAACATTTCTAGTTAATTGAATTTTAACATAGCCAAGAGGAAGAAAGGAGTGGTTTCAACTCAAGTCTAGTCCACAGTTTTAGGAAGAGAAAGGACAGAGCAATAATATTGGAAGGGAAAAATCATGTTTACAGTAATGGGTTCCAGGTTCAAAAACAAAAGGCAGAGGGAGAACAATGGCTGTTTCTCAGGAAGTGAATCTAGTGACTGACCACCACACTGTCTTGGAAAACTCCTTGCCCTACCCCGGGGCCAGGATCTTTCCCCTGCTGTCTCCTACCTTCTCCTGAAGTCAACCTCAATGATGATCATCATTGGTCCCATGGAACTCTGACACAGGATGAGACTAGTGGAGTCTCCCAACGTAAACATCCTTGGAAGAGGAGCTCAGCCCTTGCACAGGTCACACTCCTGAGTCACTCAGGTGTCTGCAAAGCATTGTGAGCCTGTCCAACATGCAGTTTCTTCCTCACCCATCATGCTTTCCCTGATATCACTCATGACCAAACTGCAGTTAAGCAGTGACAGCACCCCCATACAGAGCATGCTTTCATTAGTCAACAGAGTTCATTTGCCCAAATGCCTTTATTCCTCAAGTCACCTTTTAGGGAGTGGCACAATACAAATAAATTAAAAGCTGTCCCCATTCCCCCAGGAGAACCTGAATCTGCAGGATTTTTGGTTGTGATCTTTAAAAAAGTTTTTGTTTTGCACTAGTGGTAATGTTGGAGGAGTAAAGGCCAGAAGTTGTGGAGAATGAACCTAACGCATATTCCCTATGTCTGAAAGAAAGGCAGGCTAGCAGGTGGTCTGTCTTCTCTCCTAGGCCCTTATCCCAGGCACTGAGAAGCAGATCCAGGAGAACATTCAACAGCCAGGCTGTCCCTCCTGAAAGAACACCAGGCCCCTTGCACTCTTTGCTTCCAAAAGTCACACGACTGAAAGAAAAGAAAGACAGTAAAGGACAGCCAAATATGCGCAACGCCTGAGGGTTAGCGCCCCTCTGGCCTGAGGGCTCTTCCTGCCCGGCTGACATCTCCGGTCTTTCTGGCACCAGCAGTGCAGGCTCCTCCTCCCAGGGCTCCTCGGCGTCTTCTCTCCACACCAATCTCTTCATTTGAGGCGCTGAGTCACATTGGCCAGAGCCACTGCAAAGGCCTGCACAGCTGAGAAGGGGTACTGGAAGTCCAGAATGTATGCATTGCCGTCAATCCGTCCAAACTGCATCACCTGGGGGGAGGGGTGGCAGGGAGCAAAGACACGAAAGGAAACAAGGTGGGAAAGAGGCCACCAGGTCTGCTGGCTCCTGATGGAAGCACACAGCACAGTCCGTGAGTAGTTCTTCAGGAAGAAGGTAATATATGAAACCAAAAATTGAAACATCAACAAATAGAAGCATGTTCTTTGCAAATATGATGGCAAATACTAGGAAAAAACCAACCACTAGGAAACACCTGCCTCAGGGGGAAAAGGTGCCATTAGGTGGGTATGGTGGAGCAGGATCTCGTTTTCCTTACAAATCTCATGGAATCGTTTGACTAATAATACTTAGTACATGCATTACTTGGATTAAAAATACATAAGATAGCAGTGGGCATACTCAGAATCATAATCCTAATGGCTCCACCTCAGAGACATTAGTTGTTTCCTCCCACCCTGCTTGGCTTCTTTTTATGGTCCTGGGTATTGAACCCAGATCCTTGCCTATGCTAGATAAGAGATCTTTTGACTGAGCTATGCCCCCCAAACCCTTATTTTGAGACAGGGTCTCCCTAAGTTGCCCAAGCTGGCCTTGAACTTGTGATCCTTCTGCCTCGGTCTCCTGAGTAGCTGAGATTACAGGTGCATGTCACCATGCCTGGCTCTCACTCGGCCTTCTGAAGTTTTCCTGGAAGGCCAAAGCACTGATATCCTTCACTTAGTGGCCACAGCCCTGCAACTTTCTTACCTGCCGCCCCTCCAACTCGATCTGGAAGTTCTTGGCCGACTCCTGGGTCACCCGCCCTCCAAAGTCCAGCTGGTACACCTGTGTAGCCTCGTTCCACAGAGGTTGCTTGTTGGCCATCACGTACACAAATCCCTGGCTGCCCAGACGCCCATCCTCCTTCTCACTGGCTTTGCGGCACTTGAACTCCTCCAGCTCACTGGCTGTGCGCAGACTCCTCTTGCTTTTCCACCCCTTCTTGCTGCCCTGGCTTTGGTTCATCAGCTCGTCCCCGCTGATGAACAGCTCGGGCTCACTCTCTGAGCTGTCCTGGAACTCGTTGGTTTTGTTCAACTTCTTTGACTTCAGCTGGTCTTTCTGACTCTTCACTTTCTTTTTTTCTCTCCCTAGGCGAGGGCTGGAGATGAGTGAGTTAAAGTCACTCAGAGTCCTAGCCTCCTTCTTCACTTTACCCTCAGTGATGGCCTGAACACTTCCTTCCTCTGCTCGGCTGTCCAGTCGCTTCCGGTTCTTCTTTCCAAATTTTTCAGTCCGCTGGGGAACAGGGCTTTCAGTCAGGGAGAGGACTTCTTGGAAGTTGTCTGCGGTCTCTACCATCACCTCTGTACCCATGTGGCTTTGGAGGTCAGGTGGTGGTGGGGACACGAGGGGCTTCTCCACCACCACGTGGGGCTTGGGGGGAAGAGTGGCCTGGGGGTTCTGCACGGGGGGGCAGGTGCTATAGGAACTCCATGGGTGCAAGGCGATAGGTGGCAGCTGTAAACTGGAGCACGTGCTGCTTCCTGGGTACATGGGGGGCAAGGTGCAGTACGAGAGGCTGGGCGGGTGCGCTGGCTGCAGGACAACGGCAGACTCCTGTGGTGCAAACTGTGTTGGGGACAGGGCATCTTTGGGGGAGCAGGGAGCCTGCACTCCAGGCAAAGGGGTGTTATAGCTTCCTGGATATGGAACTCCCATTCCATAGCCTGTCTGGAAAGTGGCAGTAGGGCTGGCAGGAGACTTGGGGGAGACAAAGGGTACTCGGGTCACATCCAGGTGCTGGCTCTGCCCTAACATTAGAGGGGGCAGTTTTAAGGGGTTGGGCACCGAAGTCTGTGCTGTCCTTTCCTGGGGGACCCAAACATCCTCACCCAGCACAGGGTCCCACTGATAAGGGGGAGGCCGCTTCACAGTGACAGCAGCTTCGGGCAGCGGGGGGTGCCTAGGGGCCTTCTCAAGCTGACAGTGCTGGGACAGGGCCTCGTCCTCTGTGAAGGCTGAGTTCACGTAGTCAGTGCGGTCGCGGGCACTGTCGGGCGGGCTGAGGAGGCTGTAAGAGGACTGGGAGGCCAACGGGGAGGTGCTGACAGCATGGGCCAGAATGGTGCCTGACTGTGCGCTGGGCCCCGCGCCACTGCACTGGCTACAGGTGTACAAGGCTGGCGGGGGCCGCGCAGGGAGTTGTGCCACTGCTCCCCCAGGGCCACCCTTGGGCTTGGCCAGGGGCTGCAGTGGGGCTCGGGAGCTATCAGCCAGCTGGGCCATCTTGAGTGCAACCTCACGGTTGTTCCTCCGCAGGGTGGCATGGATGAGGCTGTTATCCAGTCTCTGGGCAGCACTCCGCCCCTGGGCCAGCTGGCTAGCAATTTCGGGATATGGGGGTGGGTCCCCTGTGGGTATGGAGTAGCGAGGGACTGTCAGGCGGTTTAGGGTGGCACTGGTGCAGGGCTGGGAGACCTTCTTCTCAGTGGCGGTGAGCCTCAAGGTAGCTGAGCTGCCTGGGCCGGGGAGGGTGTAGGTGTTCTGGGAGCAGAGCATCCGCGTGCGAGGCCGGCACACCTCCTCCACGTTGCCGCTGCTGTCGAAGGTAGTGATCCTCTCGTAGCCCAGTGGGGGCTGGTAATGTACTGATGTAGGGTAGAGAGAGAAGTCCCCTTTCTTCAAGCACACATCCACCGGGGCCTGTGGAGGTGGCAGAGGGGGTGGGGGTGCCGCTGTGGTGGGGGCAGCAGGGATGGTTCCTGGGTAGGGGGGTGGGGGATTCATCTTCGTCACCTGGATCTCCTGGGGGGCACTGAAGACCACTGTATCCCCCTCTGCTGCCAGCTGAGGCACCGGCCGCAGGGCCTTGGTGGACTTCTGTAGGTGTTCATGGTCTCGGTCTCCGTGGTCCACCACAGACAGCTGCATGGCCCCCTGTGGTGGCGGCGGCGGTGGCGGTAAGGGCAACTGAGGAGGGTTCTGAATGATGCGGCCCATTTCCACACCTCCAAAAATCACCTGACCAGGGTTGGAGTACCGGTTGGAGACTGGGTATTGGGTGGCACTGTCAACTGCATGTTCTGCTGCCCCCACCACTGTAGTTTGATTGGTCAGGATGTCCAGCTGCACATTCTGATTGGCCAGCAGAGACTGTACCAGGCCAATGCTCTGTGTGGGAGACATAGCTTGAGCTGAGCTGTGAATTGGTGCAATAGGGATATTCACGGTACAAGGTGGGTTGTTCTCAGGGACACCAGATGCTCCTGTCACTGAAAGGAAACTGGAATAAGAACTGCTTGCAAAAGAGTGTTGTGAAATAGGGTCAGAATAAGCAATACATCTGGACTTATCCTACCCTTAGCATGTAAAAGGCAAATGCTAGAGAATGAGCTGTGTTTGTTTAGAGAGAGGGCGACTGTTCCCCAAACTACTCTGTTTCTGGAAGGGCACACAGCAGCCTGACTGTTCTGTGGGTTAAGGGCATTGCCAGAGCTTTTCAATGAACAAAGATGGAACCTTCTGCATTTGGTACCAGGTGCCTGAATGATGCCATTACAAATAACTTCAGTTAAAGAAACTTGAGGGCAGTTGTGTAGTGTGGAACTCTACTGGGGACTTACAATGTCTAGGCTTCCAACCTATCCATAATTGTGGATTGGTTAGAGTGGGAAGTGTTTCCAACACATACACATCTGAAATTTGTACACAAATTAAGATTCTGTAAGTAGAATCACCTAAAATGTAGAAAAACCAATAAAGAATCTGCTAGCAAATGTGCATATTGGGTGAAGAATAATTTCACGGGTTAGGCAGCCCTAATTAAATGCTCTTTGGCATTTCAGACACTACAGAAGGTAGAGCTACTGAACAAAACCCTATCAACACTCCCTATGGCACGCAGTGAGGATTTCATGGAGCATGCGTGTGAACCACACCGGCAGGCAGCTGCTCAGAGCTGCTGTCTGTACCCATGTCGGAAGTGCACCCTGGCAGTTGAGCTCTTAGAAGCCTAATGAGCCACTGTGGCTCCTGTTCAGAGAACGCTTCCATTGACTCAGAAGCCCGAAGGATGGGGCTAACTGCCATGTGGCAACTAGTCCCTGGGCAGGAAACAGATCTAATAGGCTTGTGGTACAGGCTGGTTGACATCACACCAGAACTCCAGAAAGCAGCCAACTGGCTTATCAAAGAGTTGAGCCCACCCTTGGGGCCTGTAACTAAGGTCTCTAGTAAGATATAACCATCCTCTGGCTGCACAAACCTGGTTCCATTTCAAGTTTCCTATCATAACTGTGCAGATCTCTCTTCCAGATGTTCTCTGGTCTGCAGGGTATAGTGAGAACAGGCATCTTCCCCTCCAAAGGGAAGAGTCTCTTTACTGAGTCACTGTCAGTGAATGGAAGCCCTCAGTAAACCCGCCTCGCTCCCTGGGAGCCACAAACAGCAGCAACAACTGCAGCAGCAATATAGCACTGGAGGGAGCTATTTGGGGAGATAAGGGAGACCATTAAGGGTAAAGTGTAAAAGACACTAAGTATAAAATTCCCTAAGAGAGGAACCACAACAGAGCAGTCACATGTGTGAACACACCTGGTAAATCATCTTCATCTTCACTGAAAACATTTGGGTTGAAGACAGGTAAGTTAATATAGTCCATGGAAATCTTCCGAACTTCTGGGAGATAGATAGTCATCTGCCGTGGCTGGAGATGCAGCAGGCTGGTTTTATAGATCACTGTGAGGATGAAGAAGGACACGATGAACAGAGGTACGTCAGAGGAGAGCCAAAGCACCAGTGGAGTAGTGGGAAGAGAAAAGGAGGGCTGTGGCTCTCTGCCATCAGAAGACAGCTCTACATGTAGGGCCACAAACCCAAGGAGCTCCTTGTCCCTGTGCACCTCTATGCAAGGCTGGTGCTCGGGCTGATGATGGCTAAGGGACTCATGTGTTCACCTCTCCTGCCCACAAAAGAAAAAGAATATAAATTTTGGTGAAATCATTATGTATGGTTCTATATAACTTAAGAGTTAATGCATTAAAGTGCTATTCTTTGTTGTCCAGATTGACAAATAGGGAAAAAAAAATGTGAGGAGGGATTAGGAAGGCAACATCAGCTGCCTTCAGGAAGAAAACTAGGTGTCTTTGATTTTTACTGTATATTTCTCTTAATCTATTGAATTCTGAATCTCTTATGAGTTTTTAAAATCAAGAAATGCTAAAAAAATTTTCACGGGTTAGGCAGTCCTAATTGAAGGAAATAAAATATCCAATACAGTGAACTACACTCACTTTTTAAGTTCACAATATACAGTCTTTGAAAATATTTAATGGGACACCCTATATATATTATGCCTTCCAGAATCTAAGAGTTAATATCTTTTCTCCAAGAGAATCATGTGGAAAATTTTTGTAGCTTGATAACAGTAACATATAGACCTAAATGCTCTTTTTAAAAAGGTTAACGATTTGAACAATGATTCCAATGCTTTTGTCTTAGGGCACCCAGATGACTGGCAGCAGGCAGCATCTGCTTCTTCAAGGACTCTCACAGGCTCATTTGTGGATCTACTCATCATACAAGAAATAAGGGTAGAATGAGAAGATCCCTTAAGTGAAGTCTGACTTCCATTCCTTTTTTCAATATTTACTATAGGCAGATGGCTGAGTTGTCAGCTTACTGATGTGGGGATGATAATGATATTCAAACAGTGGTTATTAAAAATCAACCATCTCCATCAACAGGGCACTGGTGCACAGCTGCACAGTCTTTTGTGGTCCTCAGAGCACTTCTAGGTTGCTGAAAATATGCTTTCTTTGCATCATGTACAGGGGTGGTGTGTTCTATCTCCTCACTTTTATGTTTTACTTTTATTCATCTTTTTTCTTTGAAGCTAAGAAACCCTAAAATGAAAAAATCCAAATGCAATGCTCTTTAATAAATCTCTGAAGGTGCAGAGCAAAAGATCTTTTTTTTTTTTTAACATCTGATTTGCAAGAATTATTTATATTAAAGGATCTGCATGAAAACAATCTTACAGATTTAAAATTTTTCAAAAACCATTTTTAGTAGGTGACATAGCACATCTGAGATGCAGCCACAGGCCCGTCTGAGCTGGCCTGGCAGAGACGTGTATATGGGAAACGAGATGGCAATGAGGAAGACAGGGATGGGCCACAGCCTCTCAACCAAACGGGGAGCCACCCAGCAGAAAGAAGGTATTTTTAAAGAATCTGCCATTTTCCTTTCTTCTTTGTCTCTGATGTCAGTCTCACAAGGGAGCACTCCTCAACTGGGCAGGATGCAGATGAGAACCAAGGTCTGCATTCTGGCCCAGTTTCAGTCCCCTTAGTTTGGTTTTCCTCTGTGTCTCAAACTTGTCATGGGTGGGGCATTTATCTGGTACTGAAAAATGAAATTATAAATATTTACCACTAAGAACAGTCAGCCAACTTCTTAAATCTCTTAAAACTATTTCCCTCCATTTTGTTCAGATGTTTCTTGTAATTCAAGAAGCTGGACTCTGGTCCCACGTGCCCACATAAACCAAAATAGCTAAACATCTTTGAGAGCTTTGACAGAGTTTTGTATTTCTCTTATTTATTTATTTTTTTAAATTCAGGAATTAACTTTTTAAAAAAAGTGCCAGTAGCAAAAGTGACCTAAAAAATTAATTCAAACTTTTCTGAAATCATAGTGGCTGGAGTGAAGGTTTGGCAGAACACACAGGCTAATCTGGTGCTGTCTTAGGAGCTCATTTTCCACTTCAGGCTGCCAAAGGTTGAAACTGAATCTTTTAGTCTGATTTCAAATGGGGCAGTGGAATAACAGAATAAGATTTTTTTTTTTTTTACCTGCACCGAGGTTGGTTGGCAGGAAAGCAGCCAAACCCACAATCTTAAATTTGGTTCCCCAGATATTGGACGTGACCTGAGCAAGATAATTGTGCTGTGAGGGAAAAAAGGAAAAGAAAAAGTCAGAATCTCAGTCTACTTCCATGTTTTTTATTAGTCCCTGTAAGAATTTTCATACTTATTGCACACCATCAATCATTCCTGCCATCCTTCTGTCGTTTTTAAGACCAGGTGTTAACTAGAACAGGCCAGGCTCCCATTTCCTAATGGCCGTGCACACAGCAAGAGTGAGGGTGGTTCTGTCCTAGCACGTCCACGTGTGCAGTTTTAAAAGCCATCAAAGCTGGAATATGGGGGCATGTACCCGTAATCCCAGCTACTCAGGAGGCTGAGGCAGGCAGATCACTTGAGCCCAGGAATGTAAGACAAGCCTGGGTGACACAGAGCAAACCTGTCTCAAAATAATTTAAATCAATAAATAGTCCACCAAAGTGGTTTGGGCACAGTTTTCTTTGTCCCTGCTTTCCCCCAATCACTGGTCTAAAAACGGAAACCAACTCTGAATCCACTGTTCTCCTTGGAAATTCTCTTGGAAACTCTTTGTGTTTCCAGCAGGCTGAGTGGAGGCAAAGGAGGCAGGGGAATCAGGTACGGCTGGACTGAGGGGCCATGGTTGGGGTTCTTGCTGAAGACAATGGCGAGTCACTCTAGGACAAGAATTGGCTTGAAGGGGCACAGGTAGAAAAGTGGATGTGCCTCAGTCAGAGTGCCACTGGAGGAAGTTTCTAGAGGCAGAGAGGCACATGGAACAGAACCAGGCACCTGAATGCAGGTGGTAGAGAGTAGGGCAGGCAGGTAGGGGAAGGATGATGGAGTGTCCAAGTGGCTGGAGGGTTCAGCCATGTGTTACTACCTGAGTGATGTCTTCAAAAGGAAACTCTCTCCGAGTCAGGCTGGGTGAGCCGATGGAAGGCTTTCGCATAGGCAACCTTGGAGATCGGGAGATCTCCTGAGCAGCCCGGGGCAGCTTGGGAGACTTCCGGGCCTCAATGCTGATCCTGTGGAGACAAAGTGAGGGGGGTCAGGCATGCACAGAGGGGTAAGGTCAGTATTTCTTCCCTTCCAAGGTCAGCCGTGGACATCAATTCTCTGCGGCCAAGGTCCTATTTTCACAAAGCTCTTACTTCTGCTTTGGCTTTAGGAATATGAGGAAAGAATGAACTGTATATTGAATAATAAATACAACATCTGAAAATATGTTGAAATTAGATCAAGATTTTTTTCCCTCCCATTTCTCTGTATGGGGGATTGAACCCAGGGCCTTGTACCTGGTAGGCAAGTGTTCTACCCCCAGCCCCCAATTGAGTTATTTGAAAGGAACTTCATTTGTAAGGGGACTGTCTTTCACTTTATACCCACTTAAGAGTAAGTTTGGAAATGTCCACATGACTTCTGCCAGGGGTGTGTACAATCAGTCCTGGGGAAAATGCAAGAAGGGAAGTCCTCTCTCACTCTGAGGCCACTATGATTTTTTAAAATTCCTTCCACGACAGTTTGAATTTTAACAGATTCATCTAACACTTTACCACCTGCAATAGTTATATCAGATCAATGAATCTAATACTTTTCTGCTGAATTCTGACACCAGATTCTAGCTCTGCTCGGTTCTTTATACTTTCTTTCTTTCTGAGGTGCACATGTTCAATGCCAGTCTACCCCAAAGAGAGGGTTACAAATGAATATAACAAGGTTTCTAACATCCTATAAATATGTGTTGAACCTCATACATAATGCTTGCAAGCTTGTTGAGAAACTTCAGGCTCCTGAGGAATAGGGGAATTGGGGATCAAGTTAATGAAAGCTGTGAGCCAGGGCTATCAGCCTGGATGCTGTGTGGAGGGGGGGGTTCCAGGCAGGAAGAGGAGGAGGAAAGGACCAGGCAAGAGGTGGCAGCCTTAAATGGACATCTACATGCCAAGGGTTTAGTTTCTTATATATAGTAAGTGCCCTCTGCCCAATGAACTAATTGCTTCAGAGCTAGGCATTTGAGTATGTTTACATCTAATGGAAAAAGTCAAGCATTGTGGCAGCACTGGAAGGTTCAAAATTTTATGTGCAATTTTAACAAACTTTAGAATAAAGATGAAAAAAAATCAGATTGCTGGACCAACTGATATCTATATGGGAAAATGAACTTTTACCTCTAATTCACACCACACACAAAAATTAACTAGATGTAAAGTTGATCTGAGATACAAACTCTCGAGCTGCTAGAAGAGAACAGAAGACCATCTTCTCAGCCTTAGGGTAGACCAAGATTTTAAAATAGGACACAAAATGCACTAACCATAAAAGGATTTCACATGCTGGACTATTTGTTAAGTATATACATTACTAAAGACCCATTGCTAGAATATACAAATAACTCTTGCAAATCAGTAAGAGAAAAACAACCCAATAAAAAATGGGCAAAAGGAGATAGATAGCCAGGTGGGCTGATCCGCATATGAAAAGGTACTCAGCCACTTAACTGGTCAGAGAAACTAGACCTAAACCATAATGCAATATCACTATATACCCAGAAGAATGGGCAAAATTATTTTGAGCAATAACAATGGAGCTATAGGTGAGAATGGACGCAGGTAGAGCTCTCATGTGCTGCTGCTGGGAATTGAACTTGCTGCAGCCAGTTTGGAATAATGTGTGGCAATTTTCAGAAAGTTTAACAATGATCTAACTCATGACTGCCCCTCCCTTCTTAAGTGTACACCCAAGAGAAATGAGTGCATGTATTCAAAAAAGAATGTTTATATGGATTTATTCACAGTAGTCCTAAACTACTAAATATCCATGGAAATACAATAAATACACAGAAGTATATTTGCAATAGTGGAATAATTCCACAGAGCAATAAAGAAAGACAAACTACTGATACATGCAATAACACAGATAAATCTCGAAATCATGTTAAGCAAAAATCCACATATTGTTTGATGCAACATATATGAAGTTCTAGAACAAGTAAAAATAATCTATCATGACAGAAGTCATATAAAATGGAAGAGACACATGGGATTCTCCCTGATGATGGGCATGTTCTTTATCTTGAACCGAGTGGGGACACACTGGTATATCAACTGCCCAATGAACTAGTTGCTTCAGAGCTGGGCATTTGGGACTGTTTATATCTGTACGTAAATTGATTAAACACCTTAATTTTGCATAGCATCATGGAGCTGTAAAGCTAATGAGGATCTTGGCAAGGATCTGGTCCATCCATTATCATCCATAGATAAGGAAGCTCTTATCTCTATCCAAGGTCATACTGCCTACAATGCTGGCAGTGGAGAAGGCAGGCAGTACTCTCTAAGACAATGCAGGCCTGTCCATTTACTCTTAGTTTTCTGTCTTCAGACAAACCCTAGGAACTTGGGGCATTAAAATACCATGTCATTTTGACAAATTTACTATTATTTTCTCAATTACAGCACTTAATTTGGTGTTCTCAACATGCAGCACCCACTGTAAAACCTTGTTCTTCCTTTTCTTAAATTGTAACAAAAAACAAATAAACCTGAGAACTATGACCAGCCCTATGTCACCCACCACTGATACTAACTAGCCCTGGAGATATTCTGAGGCTTGGGTAAACTTCCCACCGAGTGTCTTTTCTATCCTTAAGAAAAACAAAAAAGAGCTGTAATTATTCCAAGTACAGTCTCCCAGAAGAAAAAGTGATGAGGGGGAAAAAAAGGTTGATCGTGACATACAACTGTCAGCTTCTTCCTTCTTTTTTTAATATTTATTTTTTAGAAGTAGTTGAACACAATAACTTTATTTTATTTCTTTTTATGTGATGCTGAGGATCAAACTCAGGTCCTCGCATGTGCTAGACGAGCGCTCTACCTCTGAGCCACAACCCCAGCCCGTCTTCCTTTTTTTTAACATAACAAAGTTTATTTATTTATTTTTAATTTATTTTTTAGTTGTAGATGGACACAATATCTTTATTTATTTTTATGTGGTGCTGAGGATTGAACCCAGTGCCTCACATGTGTGAGGCAAGCATTCTACCACTGAGCTATAGCCCCAGCCCTAACAAAGTTTATTTGAGCAAAAAAATGTTCTTGAACTGGGCAACATCCTGGATCAAAGATGGTTCAGAATATGCCCCTAGGGTCAGATTCAATGGGACTCATTTGCTAGCACAAACACATTTCTGTCCAGAGCTTAAAAAAAAAGGGCTGGGGGGAACACCCTGAAGACTGGGATTACCTTGGGAGTTTGGGTGACTTGCTAGCTCTGGAAATTTTGGGAGATTTCTTGGCAGCCCAGTCGTCACTCAGCTCAATGTCACTGGAGTCCGAGCAATTGCAGCTGTCAATCACAGTAGAAATCAAGCTGTTTCCATAGATCTCATCTGCAAGATACCAATTTAAGGGAAGCTAAATCAAGTAGACTTTAACAATGATCCCTGCATAAACCAGAGGACAGACTGGCAGATATAGACCAACAGGAGCCTTCCTAGGTTGTAAGCAGGTTCCCAGGGCAGCGGTCAGGGAGCCTTCGCTTGGCATGGGTTTCTTAGCTGGCTAGAAGTCCCAACAAGCCAGGTGGTTCTCCATGTGTCATGAGGCACAACAGCGAAGCCATTTTGTTTTCAACTTTCAGTTCAGTGAACAGTGCCAGATTATTTTGTATATTCCTTGGGACATTAAAATACCATGTCATTTTGACAATGGCAGAAAAAAAATTTTCCTAATTCTGCTTAGAAAATAGCATAAAAATGTCAAAGGAAAAAATACTAAGCTCCTTTCCATTTCAGCCTCTAAACCTAAAGTAATGGCCTGGAGAGTCCGTCAGTCCTAATCCAATAGAATTAGGACCTTATAAAAAGAGAAAGAGCAAGGTCTCTTTTTAATGCACAAGGACCGAGGACAGGCTGTGTGAACACACAGAGAATTCTGGCAGCTGTCCAAAAAGCAGGAAGAGCTCTCCTTGGAACTTCCTGTGACAACACCCTGATCTTGGGACTTCTCACCCTCCATAATTGTGTGAACCAATTCTACTAATAAATCACGTACACACAGAGGATGAGTTTTGTTTCTCTAAAGAACCCTGATTAATCCTGATTTTGGTACTGGGAAGTGAGTGCTGCCGTAGTGAATAGTGGAATAAACGAAAGAAGCTTTGCAACTGGTAATGGGTAGAGGCTGGAAGGTTTGGAGGCGCAGCAGAAACACAAACATTAAGGGCAGTTCTGACAGTTTGGGACTCAACGCTTATAACCTCATTGAACTTTAATTATCCCCTAAAAGTCCTATCAAATACACTCACACTGGAGGTTAGAACTTCATATGTGAATTTGGGGGAGAGTGCACACAGTTCGGTCCATAGCAAGTTCTGATAAAGATTCCTTTTGAAAATCTGTGAATTTTCACTAAAAAATATACTTGGAGAACATTTACAACAGTGGATCACAAACTTCAGTGCATAAAAATCACTGAGAACCCACAGCGAACAGGAACTTATATTAAATAAGTCTCCCTGCTGGTCTGCATGGAGATGGCCCATGGACAACATTTTGAGAAACAATGATGCATAAGCTTGGAAGAGTTAATTGGCTTCTCAAGATGAAAAATTCTTGGCTTTTCAAAGTCAGGAATCATTTCCTTCTCTGAGCTAGTTTATATATACCATTCAGTTGGCAATTAGTCACATTGTGCCTTGTGACACAGCTTCTACTTTTGTCATGAGGTATTTAAATCTTGATTTCTTTACTGAACTTTTCAAGTGTTTGTCTTGTCTTGCAGAAGGGTTTACAAACTCCTTAAAAACAGAGATAATCCTGGGCCTTCTCCGTTATCTAGGAGACTAAAGGACCTCATACAAAATAGGCACTGTTGACTGGTTTGCTTTACAACTTATAATTCTTTAACTATAAAAATAAAACATGGCAATCCCCAAAGGATTGTTAGCAATTGGTCAGTCTCTTTGGTATGAGCTGACAAATGTCAGCACTAGGGGAAAGCAGGCCTTTGGGTAATGAGGTCAGGCTTTAAGCAAGTCTGGCCTTAGGAGGCTGCAGCCTTGGTGCCCACATGTCCCCTCCTGTCCCCTTTGTAGTGGGAAGACAGACAGTTCTTCAGGGGAGTACCCTATGATTTCAGCATAGGTTTTATGGAGTCCCATCCAGAGGAAGGGCCTTAGATACTGACAGCCAGAGAGAACATGCGCGCAGGCTCTGCTTGGGACTCGTTCTCTGTACCCCTTCCCCAGGCACCTCCAATTAGTGTCAGCTTTCCTTCTCCCTTTCCTGAAACCATGCTAACATCTTCTGCTCTGTTTTCTATCTTCCCTCTCCCTCCTTCCTATATGCCTCCTCCTCCACAGCCCCAAATTTTTCTACTTGCTTTCTTTCTGTTCCTAGTACTAGTTTGTTACATAAGTCAAAAAACAGGAAAAAAATGCATATCTAATATTTTAAAGTAGAGGTTCATTGCTTTTGAATTTATACAGTAACACTGGTAGGAGAATGTTCCCAATGATGCTGAGCAAATAATGTGCAGCGGACAGGTAGAGCAACTGCGTAAAACATCAGCATGGGAAAGCGAGGTTTAGGGTGCACAAGCCCACTGCTTTGTGATATAGGGTCATGCACATGTCACAGCAGCTTCAGGGATGTAATGACAGACAAAGGATAACCTGATGGGCAGGACAGTGAACTAGTGCAAGGAAGTAGGGACATTTAAGTATAAACTAATAAAAACAGATTCAATCCAATAGTGTTGTTTCAAGGTCAAGCACTTGGGAAGCTCTGGGGGACAAAAATATGACTCAGTTCCCTCCCTTGGATTTGATGGGCAAAGCCTTTCAAGCACGATGACTGCAGTGTGCTGAGCAGGTCTCCACAGCCCATGATCAGGGATGGTACCAAGGACAGTGCTGTTCACTCTGTGGTGGGTGTCAGGTAATGTCTCACAGAAGGCAGCACATTGAGCTGCAGGTACTGATGGGTACGCAAACACTGGGCTAGCATTAAGTGGCACCAAACACCAAAGTACCTTCTTACAAGAGCATCACAGTCTAGGATCTGAGAGAGAGGGAGGCAAGAGTATCCTTAACACATTAACTAAACAATGAGGACCAGCAAAGGAGGGAGTCTGTACAAAGGTAGAGTGATCCATCATGTTAAAGATTTTATGGACAAGCAGGAAATTTTCACTGGTAACCAGCTAAAAAGCAGTTAATGGCATATCAGTGAAGGACATAGGCAGAAGGCCAGGGACAGGGCTGAAGGCTTCAAGTGTTCTTTCTTCTTCTTTTCCTTTCTTTCCTTCTTTCTTCTTCTTCTTCTTTTTTTTTTTTTTTTTGCAGCGCTGGGGATAGAACCCAGGGCCTCATGCATGCTAGGTAAATGCTCTGTCTCTGAGCCACACCCCTGGCCCTGAAAAGATAAATTATCTCACCTACCCAAGGAGGGCAGGGACATGGCCCCTTACTATTTTCAAACCACCTCAATATGACATTAGGGCACTCATGAATGCTTGGTCGTTAATTGAAAGAGGAGGCTCTTCCTTCTAGAAGCTGGGTCAGCCTTCCCTTCTCTCAGAGCAGGTTTTCTCTACCATGGCCCCAACTCCATCATGCCTTATACAACATTATTAACCTATCAGAAAGTACATTTAGAAAACTGTCACTTAAATAGGATTTTAGGAATGTAGGAGCTTCAGGGATATTCCACGCTAGCCAACTCAGGCTCACTTCACAAAAGGCATTCTTTTGGCATGGGTTGTAAGTAATAACATTCCATAACCATAGGGGAACAAGGGCTCAGTCCCTCAGCAAGGGTCCCACCTGTCTTGCTGTCTGTCCGCGGGTCCATGATGACAAACTCTGGCCGTAGCTTGCTGATACGCCGCCCCTTCAGGATGGGCACGAGCCCGCCCAGGTACTCCAGATAGAGGGTGTAGCACGGGCCGCCCACCTCCGGGTCATCCTCTGTGCGCTTCATGGTGCAGTGCAGCCGCTCATTGCCTGCTGAGGGGTAGCTGACAAAGTCTCGCATGTTGTTGGGGTCTGGAATTGGGGGCTAGAGGCAGGACACAGGCAGAAAAGGAAAGAGCTGGGACTCCAGAGACTCACACAGAGAACAGAGAAGGCGTGGGCACATCAGGGAGCTTGGGAAAGGTTAACTATGTGGTATGGAATAGCAACTCACAATTTGTGGGTGCTCATCACACAACACCTAAGCTAGGATCCCACTTGAGACAATTAAATCAGAACCTCTGGGGGTAAGACTGGTTAGGTTGTTTCCTAATATGATACAATACAGCAATGTTGAAAACTGCTGGTGTGGAATCAATGGAAAACATCTAGGAAAAAAAAAATCATGAGAGATTCTAAAACTTTGAAGTATCAGTAAAAAAAAAAGCACCCAACAAATCAATCTGATACTCAGAAGTAGAGATAAAATATAGAAAAGGACCTAGGATACTGAGGACCTGCACGAGTAGCAGGTTCATATTCACACGCTGCCTTTATAGTTTCTGGAGGCACAGTCAGTATGAAAGACGGCAGGCGGCTGTGTTGGGCCAGGGATCAGGGTAGGGGGGACTCTCCCTCCAGCACAGCAGAGAGGAGAGCAGGCCTAAATTTTGACTGGGTCCAATCCTGCCTCTTCCCTAACTAGCTGTGAGGCAAGTTACTTCACTTCTATCAATTTCTTTCTTGGTTTCTCAAGTGGGAACAAGGTCAGATTCTGTTTGGAAGTCAGGATGGAACAAAACTGATTTTTACAAAGGATGGTACAAATCTAGTATACAGTTAGTGCTAAATAAACACTTGCTCCTTTGATCATCAGGACGACAGGGAGTCAAGCTGGGAATACCAGCATGGACATGAGAGAGGTGAAACTACCATACAAGGCAAAGCTCACTTGGATACTCAGGGAAGACTGCGGGCATGGAAGGACATGGCGCAACTCTGCAGAGTCACACTTGAGCCATTTTTGGACACTCTGGTGAAGCAGGGAGCCCTGTGCATCTTTTCTGATGCCCTCCCCCATCTCTCCTGTCCCTATCCTCCTCTTGGTGAGCAGAGGGTGGCAGAGAGGTGAGGATGGAGAATGGGGAGGGCAGAAGGCTGTACCTTGATGGTGGGGATGAAGGCAGTGGAGAGGTAGGAGCAGAGGCGGGGGGGCAGGGTCAGCTTGCTGACATCCTTGTCTTCTCGCAGGGTACTGGCAATGGCCTGCTGGCACAGTAGCTGTAGGCTGGACACCCGGTGTTCCACTCGAACCACGTACAGGGCGGGTCCTGAGGCCATCAGCAGCCGCGAGTCCCTGTGGCCCCAGCAGATGGAGATGATGGGGCGCTGCAGGCAATGAGAAGAAGACAGTGCTTAAGCTTTTGCTCTTCTGGTGAACAATGGACATCATGTCCAGTGTTCTCAGTAAAATAAAGTGAGCTGACAGTATTGAGAATATTGGTTTTAAGAGCATAATAAAGAATATTAAATACCACATTATGAAAATTGAGCATTTTAATTGAAAAGGAATGAGATCTTTAGGCCAGAGCACAAATAAAGGACTCGAATAATTTCATATTTTTCTGTACAAGCACTGTCTTGTTTAATTTGGTGCCATAAATCCTAACAGCTCTATATAATGGCCCTTCTACTAGCCAGGGCAATCACCCCAGGATGTAGTCATCCATATTCCGTACTGAAGTGCTGGTCATCAGAATCCCCAAATTACCCAGTGTTGTTTCCCATAGCTCAGGGAGGTGGTGGGTAGGTAGATCTGAAGGCTCTTTCCGTCCATCCCAACAGGCAGCATTTCAGAGTCAACTCAACACTGGACGTGGGGGGCCTGGGCATGTGAACTGGGGAATATTTCCCAAAGTCTCTTAATTTTCTCAGGAGTCAACTGGGAGCACTGTGAGAATTAAAGGACATGGTGGTACCGTGGTGCTTCTGGGACCCATCACAATCTACAACCCAGGTATCATTCACTGCTAATCTCCAAGTGACTGGGCAGGGAGGCAAGGGGAAAAGCTCTATGGAAAAGGGAGAGGTGGCAGGGAGAGAGTCCTGTGGTGGCCTTGCCAGGCGTTTGTGGCCATGATTTTTTTCAAAAGGCACGCTGAAATCCAAATATGTATGTTAGAAATGTCTTGAACTGAAAACCCCCAAAGCTCAGGGGTGCCATTAGCCAGGCAGAGAAGAAAGAGGTAGAGAGCTGTGATGGAGAAGCAGCGAGAAATGTGTTCATTCCCATCCAAACAGATGGAGCACTAATTTAATGAAGTCTCCAGGGGGTTCAGAAACCAGAAAAGGGAATACCAGATCTTTTATATGAATGACAGATAGGAACAGAATTCACAACACTTTAGTGACAAACATCAAAATAAAAGAACACATGAAGACACTTCCTTAAAATACCCCCCAGGGTCAGCTAATCCTGGTTTCAACTTCAAAGCAAAATGCAAGGCTGAGGATAACTCATCTTGCATTTCCATCCATGAGGCCAGGCAGTCCCAGGATGGCACAAGATTAACAGCCAACACCCCCAACTCCCTAAGGAGGACTGAGTGATTGCTGGCTGTGGACCTAAAACCCAAGTCTGAGGGTTTCTGAAGCATGTTCAAGCTGGGTCTCCTCATGAGATGATCCCACCCAGAGGGCAGACCCCATAACAGGGGACTGTGAGCTCACAGCAAGGCACAACCACTGCTGAAAACCAGGACACCAACACAAAAAAGTCTCCGGCACCATCAGCCCTGTAATTGCAGGTTAGAACAGAGGCCCTATCAGCACCAGCACCAAAATCTGAACCCAGGGCCTCCCTACTACATGATATACACACACCCTACTACTGAGGTACATCTCCAGCCCTCATGCTTAATTTGAAAGGCAAACTGCTGCCTCTTTATTCCTGAACCCCTAAAATAATATTCCGCAAAGAGCTCAAGGCATGAAAACAGTCCTCCATCATCACTTGACTCACTGCAGCTGGCTGCAGACATGAAACACTTCTCCCATCTTCCATTCCTCCTTCATCAATTGATCCATCTGACATGCTGGTGGTTACAAAGCAGGAACTGCAGATTTATCCTCCCTTCTCCTAGTTCTGCTTGTCAGAGTAACTATCTCTGTTGAACAGCTGATTATATGTTTTACATAAAATTATCATGGGTAAGTATGTATGTCTTTGTGTCAAGAACTACTAACAGACTCTCAAATTGGATGAAAATCCTGTTACATTTCCACAAATAATCACTTCCCATCATAACAAAAATAACCATGTCTTCAAAACTTACCACATTCCAATAGCACACAGAGTGCCTGCACATACTCCCTCAGCAGGTCCTCTCAACTCGGCTACACAGGCATTATTAACCCATCTAACACAGGAGGAAAACAAGGCTGAGGGGGCTGGGTAACTCAATCACAGCTCAGGAGTGGGAGAGCTAGGGCTCATCTCACCAGCGGGTGCTGCCTCTGAAGTGTCAGTATACCCACACTTGGACTAAAGAATGTGCACTGTTTCCTTGCAAAACTCAACTAACTGCCAGTCACAGATGCGGTGATGAGTCCATTATTCTCCCCTAGTCTGTTTTGCTCAGAAACAAACCAAACGATGTCTATGGAAAAAGCAAATGGACAAGAGAACAGACTTTACCAACAGAACATGGACAATGACCTGACTGGTTCATTTATGGCTGAAAATAAGCCGCAAATCATGTGGGCCAGCATGCAAAGACAAATGACCAGGGAGTATTGGTAGATGAACTGGAAATAGCATTAGGATGATATGCCTGGATGGTGAGGGAGGACAGTGCTATTACAAACTGGGCATCACATGAATGTGAAAAACAGATCCCTCAGTCAAACAGGAGTGTGAGGTCTTCAAAGATTAAAGGACAGAAACCAGAACCCAGGAAAAAGAGCTGAAATTATTTAGCCTGGACAAATAACACCTACAGGGTTTCAAGGGAATCATTATTATCTGGATCAAGGTTACCTCCAAATTCCTCCTTCTAAGAACAGGACATGGATACCAAAAGGAATTTAAATTAATTTGGGGTGCAGGACTCATTCATTTACCCAAGTTCGGGATGGTTTACTCCAGCCTGGGGGACACATTAGTTTTTGTAGCCTATACTCCTATGAAATGATAAAGTAGCCGAGAAAGTGTTAATACCTTTCCTCTTGTGATTTTTAAGGTTGTATCACAAAAACACAGGGAAGAAATTACAGATAATAAAAACTGTCCCTCTAGTGTGAAGATTTCCAGGTATCATCTGTGTGGGGAAAATTAATTCTTGTGGTTACCATTTAGTCAGATGTCAGGCAGCAGGGACATGACCTCTCAGGATCCCCATAAACCTGTCCACAGAAAGTCCCTTTATAACACATTGTCTTTCATTTTCAAAATCACATTTCCCAGCCTGCTAGGCTCATGTTACAAATACGCTGCTGCTTTGGAAGCAGTCAGATTTCAAACACAGGTGTCCAGTCTTGACTTGGCAGCCATCATTTTCTGTCACTCTGTCCTCTGGGCTCAGCCATTCTGGCAGAGCACGAGCCCACTGTCTGTTTGTCCACAGACCTCACCACACAGAGCATCCTTCCTCCTGAGGAATCTCACCTGTTGGGATAAGCTGCTAGAGAGAAATGCACTCCATGTTCCGTTCCAGTAAAACCCTGGGACATACAAAGGTCCCTCAGACTCATGTTCTAATCTGAAGAGCTGCTATCCGCTAGGAAGAACTAGAAAGCTTGTGGATTTAATCTCTCAAATCACATAAAATGACTGATGGCTAAAACTGTGAAGTTGAAAATGTTAAAATCTTGTGGGGCTGGGTTTGTAGCTCAACGGTGGAGCGCTCACCTAGCATATGTGAGGCACTGGGTTCTATCCTCAGTACCACATAATAAATAAATACCTACATACATACATAAAATAAAGCTACAAAAAAACCCTTAACTTGTGTAAAGAGGTTCACGTATTTGGTGCATCGGAGGTAAAAGGGCGAAACCAAACAAAACAAAGAAAAAGGAGCTGCATCTAAGAGAGTCAGCAAGGTGGACACTGCTGCTCTGCTGGATCCACAGGAGCTACTGCTCACCTGGGAGGATGTGTCATTCACCACGGCAGGTGCGAGGCACAAGGTTAATGGAGAGTCCTCCTGCCCTGCACCTCCCTCTTTGGATGATGATGCTGAGCAATGTAAGCAGTGGGTGTTGGCTTCCTCTCCCTCTCTTCCTCTGGACAGCAGTATGGACTGTACCCCTGAGTGACCACTTCTCACGCCTTACTATGGCACCCCATCTCCTGCCACTACACAATACATGCCCTGTGTCAACCCAATCATTTATTCATCTATTGCACCACCAACCAGTCATAAAATAAAATATTTGCCAAATGTATACAATGGACCAGATCCATTCTAGGCATTAGGGGAGCAATGCTGAACAAGACAAAATCCACCCCTCGGGGAGCTTACATTCTGGGGTGGTAGAGAGAAAGAAACATCTTAACATGTTTGACAGGGACGACCTGATAATGTCAGTAGTGAGGACGCTATGCAGTGAAGACAGGGCGGCGTAAGGGACTAGAGAAAGAGCGCAGGGAGCAGGCAAGACCGCTCCAAGGAGGCCCTCTGAGCAGAAGCCTGGCTGAGAGGATGGCATACATCACTGAACTGGCATCAAAAGCTTCCTTCCAGTATTACCAATTTTATATCCATTAGAGCAGTTATTCAACAGTTTTGGAAAGATGTAAGAAAAAAGCAGGTGTTCTTTACATATTAAAAATAAGCAGATTAGAGGCAACTACACTGGCCCAAGCCAGGGATAAGGAGGCAGTCCTGGTAAAGACTCCCCAGATGAGAACCAGCTGCCGAGGTGGTAGAGGAGTAGATCCCTGTGGAGGTCAAAGGCCTCCCGCCCCCTTCTCCCATGCTTTGTTCCTCCTCTCTGTGGCAACCCTATAAAGGGGGTTCTCTGGCAGGAGGAAATGCACAGAGAAGGGGATATTGCAAGTTTACACAAGCACATGCAACAGAATTCACTTCAGAAACCATGGATTCTGAGGAGATGGAGATAATCAACCTGATCTAAACGTGACACGACACAATGCATAAAGAAATATCTCATGGGACCCATTAATATGTACACTACTTATGTTTTTATGCATCAGTTCTAAAAAATAGTGACTGGTCATCATCAAACTGTTGGGTGGAGCCACGAACAATTTTGCATATGAAATCGTAATGATTTGGCCACCAACCAAGTTGTAGTAATAAAAGCTGGCTCAGGATTCAGCCAGCCGAGTCTCAGTTTTAAAAGAACACAACCATTCTCCTATT